AGTTTTAGGATCTTAAGGTGTGGGCAATTTTTTAATCACAATACTCATGTACAAGAAGGTGGTTAGATCGGTTTTCTGCAATTGGATGATTTGAAATTTTGTCCCAAAAACCGAAACGTTCACACGCAGGTGGTGACAGAGGATGACAAGGCAGTGCCTATGAAATGCCACTGAGAGACAGTGGCAGCACTGCCACTCAAAATTCTCAACTCCTTTTGAGAGCTTTGACTTCTTAGGTATTTTTTATGCAATCGACTTTTGAGGCAGATTTGGAGGAATGAAGAAATCCGTATCTAGTGAGAGCCGCTTGGACTGACGAATTGCAGAAAGTTGACAACAGGACGATTAATTCGTGGTTAGGATGGGGCCAACATGCATCTGTACGGCAGCCTCCAGCGTCGTATTTATCCAAAGTGTCGAATTGCATTGGATACTTGACTATTCAGCTGTGAACTTTCCTGATGCCAAATCTACTCATACTTTTGTTCGGAGCACATTTCTTTCTTCTGCCCTTTCCAGATTCTTCTACGGAACATAGAGGAAAATGCCTGATGTGTATTTTGAAACGAACTTTTGTTTGACTGCGTTTTGGGTTTAAAAGACAGTTCCACTTTGAAACTAGGAAAATTTAAGGCCTCCAGAAGGATGCAGAAGTGTTTAGTAGTCTGGACTTCCGTTACAACTCATCTTAACGGCAGCAAAGTAGATCAACAACACTCAGTAGCTCATTGCATCCGCTGTGCATTCAAAGCCCAATTCCATCCAGTTTTTTGAATTTGAGACGGTGGCCAATATACGGAAAGATCAGGTTATCTCAACTTCTGTCATCCACAGCCAAAAAATTATCTCCCATATAATAATTGGCCAGATTTTTCCCCTTCTCTATTAATTTTCCCTCACTTTCACTCACAGAAACCAATGATGGAGTGTGGGAAAGAAAGAATGTTTGACAGGTGAGAGTGATGCCAGTGAGTCGACGACGACGTCATCAAAACATCACTTTTTGTTCCCCACCCTCACCCTTGGACACCCATACTAGTCACTGAGTATGTTTATGTGCATGCTTGCGTATCCAAAAGGGACAACGTGTCGTCTGTCATGCCCATATTATGCAACTGAAACTTTATGCCACCAATTAATTCATCAGATTGTCAAAGTGGAGATGATTTAGCAGCAGTGGATGGGGGGATTTGAAAGACGGCACCTCAATCTGCAACATGGGTGGGTTGTTCAGTGTCCTTTAGAAAGATTCACAAATAGTTCCGTTGAACCAACTCGTTGTGACTGAGAAGTCAATTTTAAGCCTCACAGAAAAAGAAGTAGATATGTAGGTAGCGTAGATGCTATCCATGCAGTCAAGAGAACGATGGACATCTGATTCAAGAAAAAGTACAGCAACACCACGATTGCTTGACTTGTGATTGTGCTTACGGTGATGCTTGTACGCCCCACCTTCTATCATTCACCGCGCTTGCCATTTCAGTAGGCCATTGTAATTACTTTGACACACTAGCGCTGGAGTCTGCCCCGAGGGCGTGATAGGGCACATGAGTATAAAAAGCTCGGAAGGTTATGGGCGTGGACGGATATCTGTGTCACCTATATGGTGATGGAATACCTCGAGTGGTTGGGTGTACTTCTCCACATAGCTTCGTCCCACTTTTAAGCTTCCTCCTCCTTTCCTTGGCCAAACCAAGAAATCAGGATTCTTCTTCACTTTGATTCGGTTCGCCTATCCTTGACACTTTGTCGTTGTTCTCCTTTGCTTTCAGCTTCAGACCTTTGGGTTTGAAGGAACGGTCTGTGAGAGAATGCATTCAATGAATGGTTGAAAGTGGAAAAGATTTGTGGGATCGCAGGCACTCTCTTTAGACAGGGAGCCCAATCTGCACCTGCCCTATGCCCTAATAGATGTGGCAAAGTTAAACACACGCAGAAAACTCCTTCTACCGATGCAAATTCGGAAATGACTGAATTACAAAAGTCGTTTTTAACACTGGCCACGGTGGTCACATGTGCAAGTGTGACACCCTGATTTTTTTCACCCGACCCCGCGTGTCACACACTTAATTGAAAGATATTGAAGTAGAACGCAAAGACGGCAAAGTAACAGCCAAAGGTGCATTACTTGAATGGTGCACATTAAGGCTGTGGAAGTCAAAATCTACTCTGTAAGTTCAGAAGAGAATATGCTAAGAAAAACCTGACAAGTTGTCCAATTCTAGTTCAAAAAAAAAAAACAAATACTCCTTTCGGTGCAATTGTAAGTGTACTGCTTTACGGCAGGAATGTTCCACTGTCTCGAAGCGAGCGTGCGATTAAGTGTTGCCCCTCTCCTTCCAGACCAATGCATGTATCAGTTTTGGGCACATCTTAAACACACTGCTGACTAGGGCGGAATGACTTCTGCCTTCATTCCAGAAATAAAAGGGAATTATTTTGAGTTAAAATAACTCAACTGCCTAGCTAATTTAGGCAGTCTGTGTGGCTTAATGTGTGGTAGGGAAGTCAGCCTGACTATATGGTGGCAGAAGCCTCTGTTAAAATTTGAAAAATTGTGGGGATGATTAAGCAAGGCAGAATTTGTATATTCTCAGTGATTGAATATTGTTTATTTACCCTTGGTGACAAGTGACTTTCTGTTATTTGCCTATGCGCATTTCTCCTAAAATGCTAACTTTCAAGCCACCACCCAGCTCGGGTTGGTTGTCACAAATAACCACCTACTTTGTGTGAATATCGCGGTTGCGAAGCAGGCAGCAGTTCCAAATATCAAGAAAAGCACACATGGGATCGTTTTATCAGTTGCTCCATGGAAACCACGTGAAAAACTAGAATAGATAAATGGATGGATCCAGATAGTGTTACTTCCATAACCGAAGTCATTGTCGATAATAATGTTAAAAGTGAAGGGGAAGGGCCGGCTCTAAGTAGTCAAATTCGGGTTGCTTTGAGGTAGTTAAAATTTAAAAATCAAATAGCTAAGCTTGTGGAACTGTAATTCGTATTCTAAGACCTAGAAGCAGCAAGTCCGGCAATTACTTATCGTCAATTTCATCACTTTTGATTGTTATCGGGACCAGAAACGGTGTTGTTCACTAATTTCTCCCCACTCGGAACCACGAAAAAAGCTTGTCTTGGTCGAATCCTTCTACAATACCTTGTGTGAAATGGACTAGTTTATTTTTCATAATAACTTTTGGATTAAGACAAATATTCGAATATTCGCCACTAGGATCTGTCTCAGATAGTGGTCAACCGCCAGATCCCGAGGGTATTATTTCTCTATTGTGACACTTCGACTAATTTTGGTTTTCCTTCCAAGCAAATATGTCACTCTAGGCCACTCTTGGTCCTCCTCGATCATAAGACCTTTATCCCTCTGTTATACTCCAAACTCGATCACTATCAGGGTCTCAGAGGATAATCGAACACCACAGTCCACGCGTTTTATTGTTCCGTTGTGCCGTTAAATACCATTTATTTCTCGACCACTTTAGCTGCCTCTCAAAAGCCCAAAACTGTAATTATTCTCTGACTGAAGATCACTTAACTCCCATTTTGTTGTCTTAAATCCCCCATCCTAATCTGTTCTCAGGGTGATTTGATGCAATTAGCTACTGCAAATTTATAAAGACCATATGTCACACATGTGTGACGATGACAAGTAGCGAGTTATCGTGTTATGGTTACATTTTGGTGAATGTTATACATTGGACCTGCTGTGCCGTTGTATTGGATGCCAGCAATTATTTAACAGTTTATATTACAGGCGGTATGAAGCAGAAGTTACTCCTACTCGCCAAAGAATTGCCGGAGTAGATCTGACCTCACAATCGAGCGGACGCATATATTTCCTTAAGGAAAAAGTGGTATCAGGAGTTATTGGGGCTATACAACTGCACTAGGGTTGACTCCAGTCAATTCCTAGGTCGGTTTGTAGCTGCTGCACTTTAAAAGAGCACTAGGAAGGCGAGCACAGAAAGTAGGAATGCTTGTAGGTTTGTGTGCTAAACGCTGCCTTCATCCAGTCCGCAAGGCCTTCAATCAGTCCTGGCGAGAGGAAGCGAATAACTGAGCAGTTGTGGGAAGGAGTGCGTGCGTGTACCTATGTGAGCGAACCAACGAAGGAATGAAAGGAAGCAGGCAAGGGAGAGAATGAAGGAGAACAGGTCAAAAAGTACGCCCGGCAGAGCTCAGCTAAAAATGCTTGCGTGCAAGCTTGAGTTCCCGCTTTTTCACCTTTTATCCTGCTACAGCTCTTTGTGTCGTTGCTTCGCACTGTTTGCCCACTTCTTTTACCCTTTCTCTGTCCTTCTTTCTCCCCCTCCGCTCTCTTTCAGCCTGAAAGGCGCGGAAGACACTCCACTCCTCTGCGTGCAGTTTATCCCACCTCCTCCTCACTCTTGCTTATTTTTGCTCACCGATGCCGCCGCCTTTACCGCTTCTACTTCAACTGCGCTATTCAAGCATCTCGTTGAGCAGAGACGAAAAAGTCACTCTTTCACCCACTACTTCTATCACACTGCACGTACCGCCTGCTTTCTTCTCTCTTTTTCTCGCTCAAGCGCTTGCTCGATTCCTCTGCGATGTTTTGCCTATAGCAGCAGGCGGTGTAGTGGTGATGATGCTACAAATCTTCCTTTTTCTCCTCTCTTAAAGGTAATGGTGCCGAATTTTAACAATTTCCCTCCCCTCCTATTTGGCTTCTCCTGAGGGCAAACGTGGGAGCATCCTGTGCAATGCCACACAAAAACTTCCACGGCAGTCGTTAGTCAGAAGATCGAGAAGAAGGAAGGGAAATAAAATGGTATGAGGTGCACTAGACTTCCAAAAGGCGATTTTTATCACAGAATCTCCAAGCTTCAGCATGCCAACCACTCTCAATCTTCCACTGAGATCTTTTGTCTTAGCCTAAATGTTGATTCAACATCTGAGGTACCTCTGTTGACGTTGCAAAGTATGCCAGTCCGGGAGAAATGTTTTTGGTGGCATACGGCTTAAAAAGGAAGGCTAATAACGTAGGTGGCAGAAGGGGACCTTAAGTGGTCAAGTAAGCCACTAGAATAAAATGTCCTTTTTAATTTGAGAAGTAGTGATACAAATTGAGTGGTTCTCTTTAATGAGCACATTGCGTATGTCAATGGATTTTTTTCGTGAAAGAACTTATCCAAAAGAAATGCATGTACATTTTTAGGGAAATGAAACCTCTTCATTTGCATCTGGTCTCGTAAAATTGGTGACCATAAAGCAAGACTCAACATTTTGGCAATTGCAATTTGAGCCAGCCCTCCTGTTGCTCGTCTTCACGTTGTTAGTCGTGGACACCACCTCTGTCTTCTATGGCATTTTGGCACAACACTCAGTCAGGGAACTCGGCTTTACAAATTCCTTCATTGCTGTAGCGCTCAAGGTATCCTCAGAAGTCTGGCAGGACAGCTTCACTTTGGTGACACAGGCGAGCTGAGAAGCTCCTGTTGCTTAGCAAAGGTTTTATGCTTATTATTCGACGACTATGACCTTAAACCTTGACCAGCGTCCTCTTGCGCTGTTGTGCCAAAATGGTGTGTGCGATGATAGAAAAAGATCACAGAATTATCGACCACTTGTGGCAGATCTCTTTGAACAGATCGGTGCCTATTCAAGACTTATTTTTATCCATGGGTTGTTACATAATATAGAAGTGCTGATAGGAATCGCCACATCTGGAATAGAGGCCACTATGTTGATTGCTTTACAATTGGGATGATTCAGTTCATTGGGTGCCTTCGAATTATCAACCGACTGTCTCAAAATCTGTGTGACAAAAGAACCCCTGACTAAGTTTCAGCCCACCAAATGTGTGCTTGTGGCTTTGTACATGTGGCTCGATTACCTGCTTAAATAAAGTTGCGATGGTGATTCACTCGCACCCACACACACCCACCTACCCACTCAGCCAGTGTCCCACCCTACCCGCCCATCCCCCTACAAGAGCCCAATTAAGATTCCAAAATTGGCATTGTCTGCAGTTTAATCGGCGTTGTAAGGAGAAGTAGCCTACGTACAATAGCAGTAAACTCGCAGACCTCGTAAGTTTAATGGGTCATCACTCTGCGAAGAACAGCCTTCATTTTGAAGCGAGAGACCGAATTTTTGCTCTCAATCCAAATTAAGTGAATTTTAGGAGTTTCGGTTAACACGGCTCTCGTCTGTGATTATCTCGATTATCTGGACTATCTGTTTTATTTGACTTTGCAGCATTCTTAATCTTCACGAAATTCCATGCTGCTAAGATGGTAGCCTGGTATCCTTCCATATCTACAGCCTCTCGATCCCCCTGCACTGTGTTAATGAACTGCACCGTATATCAGGGTGCTTTATTACGTCGTCAGGACCTATTTGGGGGGCTGCACTGTGGCAGCGGTAGGCGAACCAAAATTCGGATACCAGGTGCCACATCTAACTGTCCAAGAGGAGAGCATATGTTGTGGAGAATGTTAACTTTTGGCAGTTAATCCAATCTAATGTTCTGCAGGGAGGCTGCTAACAATTGATGCCACGCCAAACATTGACAATGTGAAAGCGTCCATCACGGAACTGCCACAGCGTTTAAAGCTACGTGGATTGCATAGATGAATGGCTATTAGAGCGACAAATGTACAATGTTGAAATAAGAATAAAGCATGCGTTGTAGAGCATTGTCCTCCTCGAGCCAGTGAATCCCTGTGATGCAATTCATAAGCAAACTCTGCCAAAATCGACCAGATTCACCACTGACCTTGAGCTCGAATATCTTGTCCTCTCAATGGAAAATCACTTCGTGATCCTTGCCCCCTCCCTTTGAGCGGTTTTTAAAGCACTTCCAATGGGGATCCAAGGAGACGCAGCTCAAAAGAGGAAGGATACTACGCGTTACAGCCATGTTTGCTTTAATTGTGCATTCAAACACTTCAGTTTCCCAGTCTCCGTGGCACATTCATACAAGCCTATACCGTTGCTAATAATAAATTATTCATCTACGCTAATGTGTCTTATTATGTCTTCCGGGTTGACTTAAGGCGTTATATTGACTGTCACAAGCTTTCAACTGCGATTATCTCATCCGTGAAGATTTCGGCAATCCGGATGATCCGTATTGGGGTATTTTTCTCTGATGCGTTTGGATGACCGAGCAACTGGTGCTTCTTATTCACCTTCTGCGTGATTAGAGGAGCGGGTATGACATTTAGGCGCGCCAAAGCTCTTCATTCCACACATAAAAATAAACATTTAGATTCCGACAATTATCACGTATAAAAAGAGAGAGGGAGTGTGTAAGAATTTCCAGCATGAAAGAGGCACAGAAGGGACAAAAAATGTGTACGCCTAGGCTTAGTGCAGACGCGAGCATGAATGGAGGGAGGCACCAAACAGGTCATATTTTTTGGCCCATCGAAGAAGTAAAAAGTGGCAAATCACCCCCCTAATTGTCTAGAATGATTAATCACGTTACGCGGACAAAAAGCACGGCGAGGGAGAGAGAGGGCAGGGAGGGGAGGCAAGTCTGCTTGTGCAATTGAATTCTTCAGTTGCTTACGCTTTGTCTTTCGCCCACTGACCATTTCATAAGACTAATTAAGGCCCTCCGGATGTAATTCGGCGATAGTTTCGAGCTCATCACAGCCACACCATAAGATGGCGATGTGAATAACATTTCAGTTTTGTCCCTAAGCTCTGATGAAGACCTTTCCTAAAAGGTGAAATTTAAACAAGTTTAGGCTTTAAATTCTCATTCGCTTAAAAAAATTTCTCCATTAGTGACACAATTGTGTTTGTATATTGTAGCTGTAGTGCTCTGATTGTTTAATCTTCGTTTTGGTTACTTGGGTACTTAAGGCTCCACGATTGTACCTCCACTGAGCGGTGTGTCCTCCTAGCCATGTCGGTAACCTCCCAGTCCTTCGGCACGTCGACAATACATTTTCCACACGAGTATTATATCTTCTTTCGTCTTCATAGAAGCCTCTAGTGGATATTTAGTGTTTCCTACGATTAAGTTCATTTATCACCAGTTAGAGGGAGGGAGTGAACGCCGTGCAACGAGGTAACCTCGAGTACGGCGCAAGCGATGCCTCTACGTGGCGCTTTAATAAATTGCGTTGCTTAGTACTAAGCAAGTGTATTTCCAGCTTGGTCATGCAATTTAGCCATCAATTGTGCCCTATTGAAATGCTCTGGAACGAACTTTCAGTGTTTCAGGGCCATATTTTCTACTTCAAATTGGGGTGACTTTAAATGAGTACAAGGTCGTACTCATAACTGCTACGGTCATAACAAGTTGCCGAAACTGATTCCATGAAGCATAAGATTTTATAATTTTCCACTGGAATGTACTTAAGCAAATTAAAATAAGTGTACTTTTACTGTGGTGTGCCAGTCCTTGAAACAGGCAGAAAAAAACGTTAAATTTATTTATAGCTTAATGTAAAGTCTACTTTAAGGCTTTTTTGGTTTTTAAAGTGTAACTAGGACGCAGGAATTCTTTTTTTATTCATGCAGAATAAGATGGCTTAAAGCCATGCCTAAGGTTGAAAAGGGTCCTTTTACAAGTTGCCTCCAATCCAATGGTAATGAGCTTGTGTTGTTGGGGCGTACAATCGCCAACTTTTTTAAGGAAAAACTGCTCTGAGATGACTTGGATAAATGTATTTGTAGCCTCTCAAATAGCAGAACAGTGCCTCCAACCAAGCCTTCCATTTTCGTTAAGCGTTCCCCATCAGACAAAGAGGGTAAATGTCCTCATGACGTATGGTGCTTTATCTCCTAGGCAACACCACTGAAGTAGTCACCATTTCTCTTTTTCAGTGAGAGTAGCTGCAGCAGCTAGTCGTTTACAAACATAGAAGCAGTAGAGAGCAAAGTCGGAACTGCTGGTAGATCAAAACACACCGTACATATGGTAACGCTTAGTAATGAAGGCCATTCGAAACCGGATCTGTTTTCTGGTATCCGCTTGCAGTCTTATTTCAGCCTCTGTAAATGGATTTTTGGTGTAACAGTATGGTCAGTTGACGCACGGTCCACATGTAGAAGTGCCCCGATAAATCCACAAAAAAAAAACACTTGTGACCCCATTCCCTGTTGCTCAGGGAGTCCAGCGTCCTCCTGTTTCCCCTATCCTACTTACAGCAAGCTCAGTCCCACATGCAATCACGTTTGCATCTCAACAGTCCCTCATCCTTGGTAAGGATGAAAGCAATTGACCGATAACTAATTCATGACCACTCGATGTGATTGAAGGCAAAAAACCTCTGTCTCGCTAAATTACACACTCACACTAATAACCCAGTAGATTTTTAAGTCTTCTCTCTCACAAAATTCGTGATGGGAGAATTCAAGAAAGGTTTTTATATTTTGGCAGGGTAAATGTTCAAAATAATAATAGTTGTGTGCAAGGAAGACATGAGTAGACAACTGTGCTCACCTCTGAATGGTTCAGGTTCTTAAATCAAATCGTAATCACGCCTCTTATCAACTTTTCATCGAGTATAATCCCAGCTGCTGCAAACTTGATTTTGTGTGTTTAAACACCCAAATTGACTTTTTGTGGTCTAAATGTACTTAATATTGCTCAAGTTCGAATCTCCAGAGTGGATGCAGTTGTCACACCAACTGGGTTTCCTGAGACGGGTGAATGTGGCATCGAATTTAGTCTAACACTAACTCAAACCACCCAGCTCAATATCGGTGTGTACCACAATGCGAAACTGAAGCATTCTTGACACAAGTGCATTTTGAAATTGACCTTCAAGGTCACTCAAACGCCGTTTCATCGATATACCCACAAGGACTCTCTTGATTGGTTAAGAGGACCCGATTAATTGTCTCTCATGTGTCTATCATTTTGGGGACAAGGTGTGGGACATTCGATGCACTGCTGTCACCTACTTTTCTATCGCCTGTCCAACTTTTTTTCTTAAATTATGTGTCTTTTGGCAGTACATGACTCAACCAACCTCACCACCAAACACCCAACTGACTCACTCAGCTGGTTCTCTCATTTTTTCCGCACTTATTTCACCTATCCGTGCATGCTCTTAACCGCACTGGAAGTTGATTGGGTTTTTTTTCGTTGGTTGGCTGGTTAGACTCCATTTAAAGGAGTTTTTGTGGTGGATGCATGATTAATACTTGGTGGGTTTTTAATCCTCTGCACCTACTCTTGTGTTGGAGGTGAAAATAGGCTTTCCCAAGCCAACCTTAGGCTATCTTTCAAGTTAGTTTTGGGAACGTAATAAGGTGT